CCCCCCTCTCTCTCTCTCTGTATACGTGTGATTTCTGCTTCATTCGATTTGTTGTCGACCACGTCGTAGTTCCATATAAAGGTGCAGGAAAAAACATTGGTTAAAAGATGTTTCTCAAGTGTATGGTAAAATCTTGTCCTTTATGATCCCAGTTTCCCATATTTTACCCAAGTTAGATTACACCTCTTCACTTCAGCCAATGTGTCGTCTTAATGTGTTCCTTCTACCCAAGTAAATTTATTTGTCAACTTTCTCAATATTTTTTCCATCAAGAATAATGTTATTGTTATACCTGTCAATATATTCTTACTGAACATATAATCTTGTTTTTCCTGACGTTAATATTTTTTTATAGTTTTATTTATTTGCTTTCTTCATTTAATCCATATAGCATTATCTGCAGGTCCCGTAGATTGTGTGTAAATAGTGTATACGGTATATTTTTCTATCTTTATGCGGAAGTGCGGTATCTACTTCTTTTTTAGAATAGGTGTTTTCTAAAGAATTTTGGCCATTTGGAACCCCAGACACTCGTCTGAAGGGGTGGATTGTCAATACTTATAATAGAATATTTTGCCCTCAATACTGTACAACATTTTTCATAAAAATGATGTCTAATATTATTCTATTTAACACTTATAATCTTGTTGTTCCTTTGCGATACCCTGCATGCGCCTGATAAAGCCATGACCTGAGTTTTTGTTACATTCTTATTTATTTGTTACATTCTTTTGTGTTTTGAATAGATAATGTTTTGAGAAATAATAGATATATTTATATATAGTACATAATGCATAAATCATGCGGTTCAAATAAATAGGGAAAAGCCAGAGTAAAATAAAAGAAGATTTGTATGGAGTGAAAGTTTTATGCATCATATCTACAATCAATTTTGATTTTAATAATTTACAGATTAATTTTACAAATTATTTTGTGACTATTAATAATCGGGCTGCTGGTAACTAGGCCCATTAATCAGTTTAAAATCAACATTAATTTCAATCTATACGTCAATTTCCTTTTCCGTAAATTTTATTTTCGTTTTTTTTTTAAATTATTATATGTCTAACCGTTTCACTTTTTTACATTCAGTTATATATTTGGTTTATATTTTTTTACTTCCTTCCTAGTATACATTTTTTTAAATCCTTTCTTCCTATTTCATTCTTATGTTTCCTTATCGTTTATTAATTCCTTTTCTTCTCTTTCTTTAAATACAAGAACAATATAACAAGCAACCTCCAATCTAATATAATATACACATTTAGTTGTGGGGGCTGTAATGCCACGTACATTAACGAAAATTTTTATTAGAATGGTGTTTGTCATAACATGAAATGATTTTTTAAAAAGTTAAAGACAAGAGTTTATTCGTATTTATACTTATTCTTCTTAATATTCCTTTCTTCAGCACAACATGAATACAATAGAAAGCCGAAGACTTTTGTTATTCTTTGTCTTGCTACTCGTTTTAAAAGGTAATAATAATATTTAATCATCAATCTAAGACAAGATATTATAGGGTTGGAGTATTTAATTGTATAACACTAAATCCGAAGACTTGTTTCCAGCGGGGTCTTTCTGATAGTGAATTGGTCAGTACACCAAGAGACAGTCCTTACTCATTTCCGAAGAGTGTACGTGTTCTTTAACCTACACACAGAACCAACGGCCAAAACGTCTCACTTAAAAGATGGTGCGCCATCGTAGCTTGTGTTTTTAAATATGAATTGTATTATCATTCCTATAATTTCAACTTTCAAATTAATAAAAACATTATTGGTGGTATTATTATTATTTTCATTATTATTATTATTATAATTATTATTGTACAATATTCTGATAATATTGTACGTTTTGTAACACAGACACGCTGGGTAACTGTATTTTTGACGATACTGATATTCTCAAAGAAAGATATTTCTTGGATAGCAATGGTTGGACCATTGAGCAGGTTGGTACTCCTATCACGTGTCCTGGATACATCAAGGCTTGGAAATGGTTTCCATCCGAATCTGCCAGTTTCCTTGGGCTAGTGTGGCGGCCCACAAATTCTTCTACTATGGAGTATGAGGTAATAGGTTGTACTATTTTGCCCACTGTTGCTGAAACAAACAAAATCCACTCATACAAGCTACCAATATCTAAATGGATTCCAGTGGAGGCCGGTGATATTATTGGATTCAAATTCGACCAGGCTCTTAATAAGTATGACTTTAACGAAAGTTCTCCGATTGAATTCGCGCAGTCAATTGCCTTCAGAGACTTCGTTATTGGTTCTCGACACACGTTAACAGACCATAAAGGCTTAAGAACCTACTCATTTATGGCAATTCATGAAGGTAATGAATTCTTTCTTTAATAATACATTGCAAACACATTAACCGTTAACGTTTGGTTGTTTTGTAACGCGCCTATACTAGGCCTAAATGATGTCTATGCGCAGGAGTCTTGAGCCTAATGTTAAAAACAGAAAGAAAAAGGATTGGCGAATGGAGTTTTAATACCGGTACCTTATCTCATAGACCTTTAATTATCATTGCACATTAAAAATAGGCCTCGAATTAGAGGAATTTAACTTGGTTCCGTCTTTCCAAATACATTCTTTGTCTAATCAAGGGACTTTTATCTGTACAGACAGAAGTATTTGGTCTATCTTCTATGCATGCTTATAGTATACGCAATTTGTAACATATCCATTAAATAACTGTACAGTATATATTATTAATATATTTTTATTTAGAGTTATCACTTGGCATAGAAACATAATATAGTTCCTACCGTACTTCTTAAAACAACAGAGAAGAAAATCGTTACGGGTCCACAAATAAAGTTTCTTTTGAGATTTATAATCAATGAGGCAGAAGATGCCTAGGATGTTTAAAGCAACTATAATAGGTAGCATTTTTTATATTACTAAGAAACCAATAATTGTACCAAAAATAACAACAAAAAAATAAAATCTTCATGAGCAATTGCTTTCATCTATGTAGGATATATTGATAGTCGATTTATTTCTAAAACGAAATGCAAGCGATTCGCCACAATGAAGAAAGTTGAACCGGGCGGAATGTTACAGGGTCACGTGATAAAAAGTTTTCAGAGACCGTCTGCAATTTTATGTGTTGTGTCTTGCGAAAGGGATCCACGATGTATGTCACTCACCTATGAAAAGGAACACCAAGTGTGTCATTTAAATGACTTAAAAAAGGAGGAAACGAATGAATTTATTATTGCGGACAATCTTTACTACTACGAATTTAGTTATGCGGTTAGTATACGCCTACTTCTTTAATATTCCCCCTCAATACTACCTGCCTACAATATTAACCCACCAGCCTTCATTTCTATCCTGTCTCTAATGGAATATCGTGCTGCCCGAATGCCTGCTTCTCAGCAAATCAAATTCTAAACCTTTTTATGCTTGTGTATTATAATATAATACGTGAAAACGTTGTAGTTAGGACATACTGTTAAGATAACGTTGCAGCTGCGCTTCAAGTTATAATCAGAAAGTATGTTATAAATACGTATTTATGGTTCTACAAATTAAATTTATTTTAAACAACCTACAATATAACGTAAAATTATTACCTGGGTTTTAACAGAACAATAATTTATTACCATCTTTCATTCCTTATCTGTTGAAAGCATTTTCAGGGCTGTGAAGCTGGTACGGTACACAATGAGAACACCTGCTGGGATACACGCGTTTGCAAATGTCTTGAATGTGGTGGTGGTGGTTGTCTATCTAAAGGTGTGTTAATTGTTTTTTTTTAACCTGCATGCATTCATAGGAGGTCATTTGATTGAAACGTCAATCATACTTTAAGACGGCGAAAAAACTTAATGAAACATCTTGATCTTCAAACTTACGTTACGAATACCAGTTTTGCTAAACAATATTCGTAAACGTATTCAGACACTTTTTTTTTAATTTTCATATTTCAAACAAACAACAAAGTCAAACAAAAGTCGGAAACATTTACCGATACAAAAAAAGAACAAAAAAACCAAAATAAAAAATAATAAATCTCACCTAAAACCCACCACAATCTTTTTGAAATAAATTTAACAATTTTCTTGAATCTCTCTAATATAAATCTAAGGTTTTTGTAGTTAGGTAGACTATTTTTAATTTTGCAGGCTTAAATATAATATTTTGATTAAATAATAATACAATTGGTAGTACTTGGTAATTTTTTTTTTCATCAATACTAAAAACACATTTATTTTACAAATATATCTGTATGCAGATATTTAAATTGAAAAGCTTTCACTTTGCAATCAATATGTAGTTTATGGAGTAACGAAAAAGATTCCTTTTAAATTAAATTTTAAATTTACTTCATTTGTAATATGTGCTACAATAGCCTGATAAACTTTATTGCATGTTCCTTTATTTTTAAATACTGATTCATAACAATAAATATTATTTCCATCAAGTGTTTTATTGAGAATAATTTTCTAATTCATTAGGCTAGAACGCAAAATGGCACTATATAAAGGAAAATCAATTTTAACTCCATACTTTCTTTCAGGATCACCCGGAGATTAAAATGATCCTTTGTACTATAGCTTTTACCCGATCAATGGAAATATATAATTAAAAACACAGACATTTTAAACTCTGAATGTAACATAAATAACAATAAAAAATTCGAACATATTAAAACTAAAAATGTATATGCGTGTTTAGTACACAACGTTTTTGTAACACCAACAATACAAAAAAATTGGGAAGATTGTTTTATTGATGAAAATATTGATTGGAAATCATGTTGGTTATATAAAATATGTAAAATGAAGGACAAAAATAAGCCCAGTTCAATTCAAGCTCTTACACAGAATTTTGCCTACTAACAAAAGATTACATATATGGAAACTAAAAGATACTGACAAATGTTATAAGTGTAAAGAAAATGTTGAAGATGAAAACCATATGCTTTTCAATTGTACCTTTATCAAACCTTTTTGGATGAAAGTTAAATATATATTAAGAGGTATTGGGTAAGAAGATATATCTTTTAAGCAACTGGTTCTTGGAACAGAAAATGTAATTGTAGATTATATTTACATTGCTGCAGCTTTTACTATTTACCAAGAAAAGTCTGTGTGAATTAAAAAAAATCAAGATTTACTGATGGAGTGCCTTTAAACATAACATCAAGTTCAGAATTAAAGGTGACTTATATATCGACAAAGTAAAAGGTAAATGGAAATGGAAAATAATACATAATTTGCTGATTGATAGTTAGGAATTTTTTAAAATATCTACATTGAAAAGGAAAAAAAAGAAGCCATAAATAGAAGTAAATACTACAATATTGTATTACAAATTGTAAATTATAACGAAAGTTAGGAAAGTACATACAGGTGACACTTTTGAAGGCCTAAATCAAAGATTATTTGGATATTGTACAAATATTTAAAAAAAAAAGAGATGAAAAAAAAAAACAATGTACAATTGATTTTAATTTTAAAATAAAATTTAAAAAAAAATTAAATACATCGATTATATTTTTGATTTAATTATTATACAATTTAATGAATTTCCTCCTCTTATTATTTTCTTTTTCTTTTGTTTCAAACTTTACCATTTAAAAAAATACTTTGTAAAAAAAGAAGGCTTTAATTTTGACAAAAGTATTATACATGTATATATTAGTGTCCAGTATTTTATTTGAAAGGTAATATAAATTAAAGAATTAAAAAAATCAAGATTTACTGATGGAGTGCCTTTAAACATAACATCAAGTTCAGAATTAAAGGTGACTTATATATCGACAAAGTAAAAGGTAAATGGAAATGGAAAATAATACATAATTTGCTGATTGATAGTTAGGAATTTAATAAAAATATCTACATTGAAAAGGAAAAAAAAAGAAGCCATAAATAGAAGTAAATACTACAATATTGTATTACAAATTGTAAATTATAACGAAAGTTAGGAAAGTACATACAGGTGACACTTTTGAAGGCCTAAATCAAAGATTATTTGGATATTGTACAAATATTTAAAAAAAAAAGAGATGTGGAAAAAAAAACAATGTACAAATGATTTTAATTTTAAAATAAAATTTAATAAAAAAATAAAAAATACACAATTTAATGAATTTCCTCCTCTTATTATTTTCTTTTTGTTTCAAACTTTACCATTTAAAAAAATACTTTGTAAAAAAAGAAGGCTTTAATTTTGACAAAAGTATTATACATGTATATATTAGTGTCCATTATTTTATTTGAAAGGTAATATAAATTAAAGATTGAAAAATGAATGAAAACAATAAAAAAAAAAAGAGTGACAGTAAAGGTGAGTAACTCCCACAAAAGACAAAAAAAAAATTATTTTTTATAGTATGGATACCTGCATTCCACCACTATTTTTGGATAGTAAGAGATCTATTAAACAAAACAGCAATTGTTCCATAATACCTGACTACAAATTTCATTTGCAGCACCTGAATTTGGGGAATAGTGATATACACTTCAAGCAAGCACTATATCTTTATAGAAAAAGATAATTTGTGATAAGAGGAGATGTTTTAGAAAAGTTACAAGCGAATTAATTTTTTCCACCAATACCTACTTGAACTAACTGAGAATATCTCATCTTCTTCTCTCTCATCTAATATTTTCCTTTTTAGTTTGTCAGGTTTTCCACCCTAAATGAAATCAAATATTTATTTTTTCCACCAATAGCTACTTGAACTAACTGAGAATATCTCATCTTCTTCTCTCTCATCTAATATTTTCCTTTTTAGTTTGTCAGGTTTTCCACCCTAAATGAAATCAAAGATTTTTTTTTGTAATATAATGATATATTCCATATCGGGTGTTAGAAAATTATGATAAAATTAGTAATGCCAAAGACTTAATTATCAACATTTTTCCAATCAAAGATAAACCTGTTATGTGCACATTCTGAGAACTCCTTTGATTCTTTCCAATTTGTTTTCAAAATTAAGTGTAAACAGTTGATCAATATCCTCACAAACATATATTCCAAGATATTTGATTGGTCCATCAGTTAAACACAAAGTAATTGGTACACTAAATTTTAAAATTTGTATTTTTAAATGCGCCTAGTCTTTAAATATAACTTTTATCAAAGTTCATATACCAGAAAATTTAGAAAAGTTATGAAGAATTTCTATCGCAGCATTTAGATAGTATTCATCTTGTAAAAAGAACACCGTATCGTCCGCTAACTGGTTTATTTTTATGTGAATATTTTCAAAAGTAATACATTTATAACTTTTATTTTGCCTTACTGATAATTGTAATATTTCTGCAGCAATGATAAATAAGTAAGGGGATAAGGGGCAACCCTGTCTGAGTCCCCTCGTGAGCTTAAAAGAACTCAAGTGGAAACACAGCTTGAAATATCATTATGCAATAATTTAAACATAGTTTTAAAAATTTATCCAAAGTCAAATTTGAGTCGGGGGACTTTCAATAAATTCCCATTTTATACAATCAAATGCCTTTTCTAAATTACCCAAATATAAAAGGGTATTAAGTGTTTGTTAAAGCATTCTTTACTACATTTAATAACAGTCGGATATTTTCCCCGATATAGCGTCCCTTCAAGTATCCTAAATGATCAAGATTTATTATTTTTGCCAAAGCTAATTTCACACGTGTAAACATTATTTCAGCTATGAGTTTATAATCTACGTTTGGAATCCACGATTGGAATACGAAAGGGATTTCATTAAATACATCGTAATATCATTCAAGAACACTTTATAAAATGTATATAAACCATCTGTACCAGCAGATTGATTTTTTTCATTGACTTTATTGCCGCTATATTTATTTCTACAATTTCTGATTGAGTCTTTTTTGAAAATTATTTTCTGGGGACAGTATTCAAAAAGTCTATTATTTCTATATCACTAACATTATCACTTTCAGTAAAAGTCGTTCGTAAAAGTATCTCTCTTTATTTAGAATGTCTATTGGGTCAGTAACCTTCTTTTCATCTATTAAAAGTTTCGTTATATTCTTTATATTATAATTACTTAATTTATAAAAAATACTTGGTGCTTTTCTCACCTCCTTCTCCTTCTTGGTTGACTCCTTGAGTTCGAGTATGTCTAAAAGCTGCTTCACGTTTTAGTGCTTGATGTGGGTCCTCTATTGGCTGAAGAGGCCGATACGGGATCGACAGATTAGGTTTGTGGGTTTGTGTCATTGTCATTCACTGGAAGAGTTTTGACCATACCGCTATAGTAGCCTTTATTTTGGTGCGTTTTAGATCGCGAACATGGCGCAGGTGACTTTCAAAGACGTGTGCTTCAGCCCTCACAGCTTGTCTCCACTGAGGCCATTCGGCTGCAATTTCCTCTCATTTATGGTGGTTTATGTTGAAATTGTTTAGGCTCTATTTCAGTGTATGTTTGTGTTGCTTGCACTGACTGTCGTTTACCACTGGGAAGTTCACTGTAAAAAATCTGTATTGGGATGCGGTTGTCATTTGCTGAATAATGTTTCTATGATGTTGAGTCCTGCACAGTTGAGGGGTTAGCCCTGAATCGAAACGTTTAATAATGTTAAAATAATCTGCTTGGTTTAATTTTTAATGGTTTAAAATTTGCATGAAGTTGCAAAGGGGTGGGTTAGATCACAGGTACGTCTTGCTAAGAAAAAATATTCTGAAACAATACATAGTTACTTTAAAAAGTGTACAGCAAAATGGTGGAGTGAGATAAAAAAAAAGATCCTCCCGTCCAAAAAGAATCGTATCTCATCATTCGTAACACCAGATGGTACTTCCATCTAAGACCTCTTCGCTATTGCTTCCCAGTTTAACCGAATATTTGCAAATCAGTGACAAATTCAAACTCATTCATTATTTCTCGTTCTTGTTTACCATCATTTTTCTTTGAATCTTTACCTGTGACTGAAGAGAAACTTAATTTAGCAAGTAAACAACTTAGTAACTCATAATCCCCTGATCCTGATAACATTAGTAATTTTATTGTTAAATTAATAACACCATATTGTAAGTCGTTGTTTTTTCTTCTGAATTCTTTACTTTGTCATTTACTTTAAATTTGATCCCACAAGGGTGGGAAACGCCATGGTTCATCCGGTGTTTAAAACCTCTGAAAAGGCTAGTTTCCTAAATTACCGTCCAGTTTCTATCACTTCACCTCTTTGTAAACTGCTTAAAGGAATTTTATGTGCTCGTTTCAATGAGCAAATCGAGGGAATTTTAACTGAATTCCAGTTTCTATTTTATTCTGGTAAATGAACGACTGTTTATTGTTTATTTGTTTATTATTTATTTAGGCACACAATATATGTGCCAAGGATTGTCAATAGCGAATATATCACTGTCCTACTTGTAGCAATCCCTTACACAAGACAAACATACACACATGATGCTTTACACAAACTAAATCTCAATATGAGATTTAGGGAGTAGAGTTGTTTTGGTCGTAAGAAAAAATCCTGCAACAGACATGAATTGAACCCAGCACCCTAGGATTGGAAGGCAAGCATCTTAACCACCAAGTTATTCAACTCCACTTACTGATGCCTAGACTTGCCACAAGTCTCTTATTTTTTATTATTTTTCTCATTCTGGACAGCGCCACCAACGAGAAAGTTAATTTATAGACGGAAGAAGCGACTTGTAAAACACTGAAATCAGGCACCAGGATGCCAAAAGAATGACGTAATCTTATATTCCGTATTTGGATAAATGGGCGGACCGAAATAAACAATTTCAACCAATCAAATGTTCATATTTTTGGAGCCACGAAACTGAGTCACTCGCGTCAACTAGTTTGGCCATAAGTCCATGGTTAGGCATGACTAAATTTAAATAGTCTTCCCTAATAAAACGGGCCTAAAATATTTAGAATAGACCCTAGTAAGACTAATGTTGGCAATGGCAAAAACAATTAAGCTTAGACTAGATGGCATACCATACAAACACAACAAAACTTTAACTTTCCAGTAGGATGGCTCAGGCCTCGCCTGGAGTCAGGTAGTCGGCCTAGCCTAGACTAGTAGAGGCTTGGCCTATTTTTAAGTTCTTACTTACAGAGGCCTACCTTTTTAACAATATTCTACCCTAAAGGCCTAAATCTGTGTAGCAGCTAGTGGTGAGCAAGTTTCCAAGTAGGCCTATAGCCTACGGTTATCAGTCCATGTCGTTCTCAGCAGGCCAGAACTATTATACCTGTCAGGTAGCCAAAAGGGAGCTGGAGCTTGTTCTAGTCGAGACATCCGCATCTTCAATTTTGGAAAATTTACCAAGATTGATTAATATGCATGAAGTTAGCCAATCACGTGATTTACAAAATCAGTCATTCATACGATATCCCACATCAAATTTGATGTGGGAAATTGCACGCATGAACTGTTTGCCCAGGCCCTAATTCGAAAAAAAGGAAATCGAGTATAGGACGCCAATTAAATTAGGTATGGCGCGCACTAAGTGCAATAAAGAGTGAGTAACCTAAAATTAGGGCTTGGAACCCAGGCTAACTGATGCCTGAATTGACACACTTCATAATCTGTACAAATCATCTGATGAAAAACTTCACTCCAAGCTTCTTTCCGTCAATATAAAACAGGCATTTGATTCGGTTTCACATGATCTTCTTCTGCTTAAATTATCTCATATTTGTTTGTGTCAATGACCTTGGTGTCTTGAATTTCCTCCTGGCTTTCCATTCGTACTCAATAGACTACTTTTAACGGTATTATCTCTAAAAAACTTTCTATTAGTTCTGGGTTTATTCAAGGATGTAAACCTGGACCCATTTTATTTATTTGTTTCATTAATAACATTAGCGATGACCTCAATTGCCTCTCCCTGCTTTACGCTGATAATTTAATTCTACTGTCTTCATTTTAAGATCATTCCTTTGATTTGTTACCCATCTCTGCTTGTAAAATTGAATCCTGGTCTAAATCCAATGGTTTTGTTTTCTCTTCAAGAAAATATAAAGTTATGAACATTTCTTTTTCAAGAAATCCGATTATATTTTTCCTATTATTTAATAGGGTCTCCAGGTGAAATGCATTTCAAGTCTTAGGCATTAACATTTCTCATGATCTAAAATGGCATTTCCACATCATTCTTGTTTACAAAATGGCACTTCGTAAAATCTCCATATTGAAATATTTAAAAAACGTCATTGATAATGACACCATGATTATACCCTCTTTGAAACACGTCAAAAGCTTTTCCTTCTGTTTGATTTGCAAAATCGTCCAATCACCCGAACACCCTCTTTTTTTGTTATCTTCCTTTACGCCGTCAACTCTCCGTGTCCCTGAGATATTCTCGTAGTTCAACATTTCTATCTTTCCAGGGCCGTACTTCTAGCTTTCTTTAATTTCTCCCTTTCTCAATTAGTTTGTCATACTCCCTTAGGCTTGATCCTGCCCTCTCTTCGTGTGATATCAAAACTGCTAAACCATAGAGTAGAGCTAGCCTTAGATTATTTCAAACTCCTCATAATCCTCCCTGCTTCCAACAATCAATCTTTTTCTCGTTTATTCTTGTTGTGTGATGGTGGTTGGAGTGGGGGGGGGGGGGGAGTGTGTAGAGGTTGATGTAATTTAAGAACTGTTTCCGTTTTGTGTTTTGTACCTTGTGGTAATTATTCTTGATGGCTTTTGTAGCGTCAATAAATTGAATTGATCTATACATTATTTGTGTCCCCAGTGCTAAGCAGAAACATTAAAAAATATTATTTCCTTTGATTTACAAGCTGCTAAATATAAGCAATTTACGTAGCAAATTTGTGAGCCATCAAGTTTCATGAAGGGAAAGAAAATTGTGGTCTTGGATGCGTAATAATATTTAATATTTAATATTTTTGTGGCGTAAACGGCGCGAGGCACGCCAGAATAGCGAAAAAATGCGGGTTCGATTACCACTAGAGACCTCTTTTTTTCATACAACTTTAATAAGGAACTTTCGTTGATGAACTGTGTTTGATACGATTTATAACATCATATTCCTATACAGTTGAACACTGTATTGTTATCTATTTGATTTATACATTATTTGTGTTCTAAGTGCTCAGCAAAAACTTGACTTAAATATTATTTCCTATGATCTACCAGCTGCTACCTATAAGCTATTTACGTAGCATAAAATTGGCTCCACTATGTGTGAGCCCTTAAGTTGCATGAAGGGAGAGAGAATAGTGGACATGATTTCGTAATGATATCAAACGTATTCTGTAATCTAAACGGTATGACGCTCACCGAAATATCCAGAGATTGCTGGTTCGATTCTCACCAGAGACCTTTTTTTAAATTCAACTATAAGTAACTTTCGTTCATAAACTATGTTTCATATATGTATTGTGTTTGTAGACTGGAACTTGGTATTCAAGGGCGTGGCCGGAACTGGATCTGCTATTTATACAGGCTTTGTCAATGGAACTGGAACATCAGAAACTGAGGAAGCGGCATCGTTTAAATCACCGATAAACTTTAGATTGCATTATATCTTTGAGCACTGGTCATTTTTACCTATCATGCAAGTATGTAGACCTATGTATAAAAACAATGACCACAACAACAGCATCAGCAGCAGCAACAACAACAAAAACAACAACAACAAAACAACGACGACGACGGCGGCATTGGCGACGACGACGACGACAAGAACAAAAACAGCAGTAATAACTAGACTCACTATGTTTGTTTGTAAAACAGAACATAGGGCTTTTGCTCATTGCCGTATTGAGAAGTGATGTTGAAATACAAAACATTTTTTATAAAACAAAATCATTATAAAGGTATGAAGTAAAACATGTTCATGCAAATGTCACGGTAATTATTTGTTTAACATTGCTGTAGCTAGTTTGAAACAGTTTAGAAAACGCAAATTTCGTTAATATAATAGTTTAATTACCCATTTATTAATATTAAAAATATGCAGAATGAAGTCATATTTTAATATACACATTTTTTTTTGTTTTGCTTGAACAAAGTTTGAAAAATATCCAAGCACGGATTTTTACCAAAGTACCGGTCAGAAAAACGCTGTGCAAAAATACTATAGGAAAATATTTTGACATTATAGACCCATCTGGTTCTATTGTAGTCAGTGTGTCTAAAAATGCTACGATAATGAATTGTTTTCTTCACAGTTTTGTGCGTGTGTGTGTTATCAACATACATAAGCCACCATTAAGGTGGTTGGAGTGCTGTTTCAATAGCTCTTTTTTTAGGTGTTCCATATACAAATTGCATAAAATTTGATACCAGAGAGCCCATTGCTGCCCCATGAATTTGCAAATAGAAAACCCCGTTGAACACAAAATATGGACAGAGTACATTTCAGACAAAGTATTGTTTGAAGGTTTGCATGGCGAAGTAATAACATATACGGTATGTTTAAGCTTGTGGTACACCACGTAGGACGTTCTGAAAAGAACTGTTGTAGTTAAGATAGTCTAGACGTTTCTTCAGGAGAATAAATCGAATTTCTCAATTTCAATCTTGCTCGAACTACAACAGTTCTTTTCAGAACTACTACGTGGTATACCGCAAGCTTAAATATATATACATTTCAGACATTCCTCGACCTCCCGAGAAGTCGGCACACTTGAACCGCTAACAAACCGGTTTTGTTCTTGAGGGTGGCATCCATTTTTAGTTTCGATCGGATAATGGTCAGATCTTTATCAACGGGAACCGATGTAAAAAGTGCCGCGACATCATATGACCTAGGTTCTTCGTCATCCTACACTCTTTCTTTTCTTATGCGATCTGAAAACTGTTGGAGTTGATGATGTGGTAATTTTATTACCTACCAGTGGTGAGAGGATGTTTGCAAGATATTTGGCACATTGGTATGTTTTGGTTCCGATACTGCTAATTATGGGCCTTAGAGGAATGTTATTTTCGTGTGCCTTAGATAAACCGTATATTATTTGTGGGTTCTCTGTTGTTGCATATACAGTAGTTTTCTATATATTTCCCTTTTAATGCAAGCAGTGGCGTTTCTAGGCCTATGGACAAGCATAAGTTGGGGCACAAGCCCTTAGCAATTGTGTGCTTCTCCAAGTGGCCAAACCTCTTTCCTCTACCAAAACCTTTCCGAATAAGACAATAAAGTTACAATGATGAGACATGACTGAATTTACCTCATCCTACAGCTAATTTCCTTTCCTTTTCTATTGTCCGCATGTTTTTTGGCTTACTTTTAATTATAGCTTACGCACTGAATAAACAGCCTGCCTGTGTTTCGGTAAAACGTGGAGTAGTGGACTAATACAACTCATCTCTTTGTAGCAATAAAGCTTTGAAGTTCCTTTATTCGAATTTATTTGATCATTTTTTAAAGCCAGGCTCCGGAAGACAAGACAATTGATATTTTTAAGACACAAAAAGGATGTATGACATAAAACTCGGGAACGGTTTAGGGAAGATACAATTTTTTTTGAATATTTAGAAAGTGGGACCAAAACCCAAAACACTTATGTTCATCGGAGCCTGGGTCTAATTAGTTTTCAATTGATTTTTACCTGCTTTCCCGATTTCATGAGAGACGGTATTTAAAATAATTGAAGCTATGATCCGTCAATTTCTAAGTATGTCTACAGTATTTGAAATCTCTTTCTTGATAATAGGTGAAATTAACTCTGTTTTCAAAATCAGCCGATGAGTTGGTATCTTTGATTTTTGACGGTGTTGATTCAACAAAAACCTCGTGGTATGCTGTGGATAAGTTGATAACTTCACCGTGGAAGGATTTGACAACAGAAACCATATGCAATTTTTTCAGCATATATGGCCTTGTGTAAGTCCAGTCTCTATATAATAGTTGATAAAGCCTATTGTGGTCTGATGGTGCTCGTCTTTAATTCTAAAGTTATTGGCTTCGTTTTTATGTTTGTAAAAGGTCAGCAAAGAAATCGCACGACATATGTTATAATCTAACTGTGTTTATAGTGTTTTAATTAACAGTATTCGGCTACTAGCCATATAAAAATCAATGCTAACGCTTCTCACAAAATCAAAAGTTTTCCTGTTTTTTCCATGTGTTTGTCCTGTTACGATGTTTATTTGATTTTAATATGCAAATACCGTTTTTGAGAAGGCGTTTATTCCAGGGAGGGGTTTTTTTTTTTTTTTTTTTTTTTTTTTTGTTTGTTTATGTATAAAATTAGTACGTATATGCTCAAATAAACGGCCCTTAATTTCACTGTAAATGTAGAACAACAACACATAATTACCGTCAAAATTTGTTATTGATCATGAAGACTCATAGATTTCAACCAAGTTTGAAGAATTGTAACAACATTAATAGAATTGTGTTATTTCAATTAGTTTTGTTTTTAATAATTTAAGAAGGGGGTGTTTATTTGAAAAGAAAATAATCATTTGGAATAAATCGAGCCGTTTATTCCAAATGAGGCTCTAGAGGTAGAGTTTATTTGAATCAATACACAGCTAAAATGGATTCCCCACATAAGGATTCCCACCGAAGACATGTCTCCCTTTAATACCACTCCATAAAACCTAAAGATATTTAAAATATCCTAAACAGAAAGAGTAATAATTCAACACTCAAACCTGAACAAATCACATATGGACTTCTGAAAAATTTGGACACATATATTTATGACCAACTTGTTTAACATTCTTGAGCAGGGACATCCCTTCATAGTGGACGTCTAGCTACATTTTTCTCATATACAAAATAATGTGAGCAAACAAATCTCAATAACTTCAGGATGATTTGCTCTTTTATCATGCATGGGTAAAGTTTTTTAACAACTTTTATTGGAAACAATTGAAGAATTATTAAAGAAAATTAGCAAGTCAATCCTCTTCTCCGAAAATTGTAAATCTTACTCAAGGGCCTTTCATGCATATTACCAGGTTCGATTTCGAAAACGCATTCGAATCCGTTCCTCATGAACTTTTTTACTACTCACTTGCTAGATGCAACATTCATCTACCTGTTTGTCTATACATATACATTCTCGACTCGAACTATAAACTGGATTTCAGATTCAGTTGATTTCTAGAAAGGAATTTTTCAAGGTGACCCACTGTTACCCATCAATTTTTATTCACACTGTTCCATTTATCCAGTATCTTGCATCTGAGATTTCTCACGGCTATTCAATGAAAGATTCTAATACTAATACCTTTTTGTCTAATTACCACCATGGCCAACAAACGTACCCACCAACGAATAATTAATACATTCTCATCCTATCCTTCGGCATTATTGTATCTCTTTAAAAGCTCCGAACTTTGGGAAAGCCCCGGACATAACCACTTAAATTAGGTTCCGATATAATCCCCTCTGTTGAAGGCGAGTCTCAAATTTCTCTGTTTTTGACTACCTTTTAATTATCTAAATTTCAAATGACCTTTAAAATACTAATTCCTCTCTTATTCGTTGAAAATTTAGGATACATATTTAAAATTCTTTATTACCAGCATGAGGTTCCACCTTGCTGTCAAAGACGTCTGTGTTTCCCACTTTGACAGAATTGACGCCCTTGTTCAGACGTTTTTTAAGCCCTGGTTAGGAATTCCCAATTAGTAGTGGCACAAGCATCGGACAGGCTTTGACCTGCCTGGCCTCCGACACATGAATAGGTCGTCGGGTCAAAAATTAAAAAAATTAATAATTTTCCCATCCACATAACGTTATTTTGATTGCCAATCACTAATATTGTGGTCTAAAAGCACATTTTTAAAAACACTAAGCCGTAAAAACACTCACCGTGAACCCTATTAGGGTTTTCTTTCTTCTAGTTTTCTTTTATTCTCGGCCGTTGACCGAGCTCTAGTCGGCCCTTTATTCTGACCTATTACATTATCCAGATCTGCTCAAGTAATTTTCTAGACCATAGACGCGTGGTTAAAATGGTCCTGGCGCTATTTAATTTAGACCTAACTTGGCTCCTTTAAAGCACTGCCACTTAAATATGTCAATTATTTAGGGTTCAACTGAAATGGATTCAATGTGGAGAGAAATTTCCAATTACTAGGGCAAGATATAGACCGCTAGCTCTGTAGATATTTGGTAAATAAGGCAAGCACTACTGGTGAATAGTTATGTTGCCCAACCTATTATATTTATAAATTTATTATGATGCAAGTAACATACAATGCAGATGAAACAAAATTAAGAATCAGATATAATCTATGTGGATTTTTATTCGATTGGAAAGCATTGATTGGACATCATTAGTTAAATAGGTCGCATAAAGTACCGAGAAAGGATAGGCATAAACTGGATGATGATGCATACAGCAAGCAGTGGGTTTTCCGCGCAACCAACTCCCATGCAAACTGGTTACCAAGGTAGGGCATATGTTACTAAAATCATGCAAATTATAGTTAGTATGCACTTTTAAGCATTTAGAAATGCAGCATATTTTGGTTAAAAGGTGGCTCTCTTGTGAACGCCTGTATGGACACTGTCTGTCTCTAAGAGGAAAACGTTTTCTACAGACAAAAGTGAAAATGTATTTTATTTTAACTCTCCTAAACACAATTCATATAAAGAGACTCAAGCCACTGCTAAAAATCTCTAAATAAGAATAATATACAAAGAACATTGGAATCTCTATGTGATGGGCCTCACCGTTCAATGTAGATTCTTAGACTTGGTGAAAACTTGAGGAAACATGCCACCATTGGGAGAGCATTGCATACAACCTTCCAGTTAGAGTCTTAAAATTTCTTCTTCCACTAAACACAAGAGTGAACCTTGTAATGCTGCTTGTCACAGCAGAAATTGTTCTCACTAAAAACAACTCCACTCCCTAAGCCTCATAAAGAGGATTAGTTTATAAAGTTTCATTCTCATCCTGTAAGTGGTGAGTTACTTGCTGTTGGATGTGAGAAAAACAATAAGATAGGGCAACACCACATTTGACAGGTGTCGAAATTATGAAAACCATGTCCTCAACTTCTGTACCAAATCCCTTGAACAGAGGAACTTCACGTGGGGAAACAACAATGTTCTTGGATACATCATTACAATTATTACCATGAGCTCGGTTAAGATCTCTCTGCCCATTGATAAACACTGATCTTGAATCCTGAGCCGCACCTACCACGCACAACCACCATCCAAATCGATTGCAAAATTTCTCATCCCGGACATCGTCATTTATTGAAAGACTTGAAAAAGATCACCATCATAAACCTTTCTCTCCCCCTTCGAACCTAATATAATATTCGCTCATACTAAGATATTTAACAAATATAATCTCTTAATAAAAGACATTACGACTCCGGATTTAATGCACAACAAGTTGCTATTGAATTTAGATCCATAGGCTTCATTCTAGGCTTTATACATTATAATGAGACTTAAGGCCATGGGCCTACATTAATTGTGCAATAAGCCAATCCGAATTTCCATAGTTCTGCGACAATGTATCTAAACTTTAAATTATCTACTCATTCAGTGTTTATCATGCTTCACAAATTTCTTGGATAATTCCACCTAATCTCTCCGTGCAATAAATTATCCGTTGTTTCTCCAACTTCGCCTTGTCTCTGTATTCTGAACAAAATGCCATTTGTAATGACATTTGGTCACATAAAAATCATAATAATAGTATAGTATTAATAATTTGTATGCAGTAAAATGTTTTACAATTTCGCAATGTAAACTTCTTTTTCTAATTTTTAATGTTCTATCTTTTATAACTGTTAAAAAAGCGGGTTCCTTTTATTAAAACATTATTGACATTGAATGTATCTTTCTAAGCGAACCGGTTGTTGGGCTATTTTATGATGTCATTGGTAATCAGTCCTGTCAACTATGAAAAAGTAAAGTATGAAAGATACAGCACTACGTATAATAACAAATATTCTACAAATGAAAATTGCCAACATTTCCTTCTTTCAGTGAGATTAATCGGATTTATCGTAGATTCTATATTAATAACAATCATGGTGGGTGTCTGAGTGACATGGGATGGCTATTAGTCATCGAAAACCTTGGACTCGGCTGTGGATGGGAAAACGTACCGGATTTACCAGCTTTCCTCTACAGTTCCTCTGATGTAAAACAGAAATGGTCTACTGGTTGTAAGTAGTAATAGTAAACATTTGTTTTTTTTTTTATTAATGCCATTAATATCAGGCTATTTATGTTGTTGTACTACTGAATATATTGTAAATTTTCCCACTCACCACCATAGTACACAAACTGCAATTTTGACCAAAACAGCGTTTTGAGAAAAACGCAGTGCCGATATAAAAGTAAGTGTCAATATATTATCATATTTGTTTTTATTTGCAGCCATTGGAAGAGCCTATATAATGACAGTACACATCATGTACGGTTAATCAGCTTTCGGGAGATTACCGATATTCATAGATTTTATATACACCAATTAATCGTATTTTTAGTTTATACAACTTCTTATTGTCAGTAATATATATTGTACGTGAAAAAGTGGAATACAATTTTATGATATTAATATTGATGTCCGATGATAAACACAAATTCATAACTATAGTGTTCGTTTATAGCAAAGAAATTCGGGATTGTGTCTAATTAATTCACCTCTTGATTTTGGGATTTCTGATTGGATCATATGACAAAATCTTTCTCTATGATTTAATAACTTGTTTATCTATACATTTATAATTAAGATAGATTGGAACTGTGACAAAATTTCGCTTGAAAGTGACAATCATGCTGTGGGAAAGTTTATGTCCAAATTACCAATAATATATCAAAATTTAGTAAACTAATTTAGGTGTTAGTTGAAAGTTAGGTTGAAACAAAGTTCAGACATTCAACAGGTTGAAGGGTATCTATATACAAATTCTAATAGTTATGTAGCCACCCAGTAAATTAAATAATGAATGAAAGTTAAAAAAAAAAAAGAAGAATTATGAAAATTGTCCCACTTAAAATAAAATTAAAAAAAAAATCACATTTTTTTTTGTACAAAGAGAAGTAATATAATGCTTTTATCTTTTTGAAAAAAAAATAAAAAAGCAGCATAATCTAATTTTCCCTAAATTTAATGAACAAACAACATATTCTAATAGTATTTATGTATATATATATATATATATAACAAATGTTTGGAACAGTGTATATACATAAACACACAAATATACATATATGTATGTAAATCAAATGTAAAGAAACAAGATGTTATAAAATCGTATCAAGCATAACTTAGTTTATCAACAAAAGTTTCTAATTAAAGTTGAATAAAGAAGAGGTTTTTATCGGAATCGAACCAGAAATCTACACCATCTCGGCAAACGTCATACTGTTTAGACTACATATGCCCGCACAATATCATTACAGATCTAAGACCACCCGTCTCCTTCCTATTTATACAACTAGAGGGCTCACACATAGTGGAGCCCCATTTAAAACCTGCATAATAGCTTGTAGGTAGCAGCTTGCAAATCATGTAAAGCACTGAGGACACAAATACTGTACAAATCAAACAGGTTAAAATGTGCTCAATTATAAATATAAAGGAACCTGATGTTATAAATCAAACATATATATCAACGAAATTTCCTTATTAAATTTTGTCAACGAAAGTTCAGTTTCGCTAAGCAACAGAACTTAGAAAAGTATCTCATTTAGAGGAGTAGTTATGTACTCTCGGGTAGTCAATTTTATAATAATAATAATAATAATAATAATAATAATAATAATAATAATAATAATAATAATAATAATAATAATAATAATAATAATAGTAATAGTAATAGTAATAGTAATAATAATAATAATAATAATGATAATAATAATAATAATAATAATAATTATTATTATTATTATTATTAATATTAATATTATTGTTAATATTATTATTATTTTACAATTTTTTCAAAAAACAATTGACTTAATAATACATTTACAACTCATGATAACCCAAAAAACCCAATGCAGTTTATTTCCGTCGAGGGTCCCATATATAAAATGTATTACATAAAAGTTTATTTATTATTAAATAATGTGTTAGATACTTTTAAAATTACTAATCATTACCGTTGTACCCTTAAAAGCACGTAAAAGTGAATGTAAAAAATCATGTTAAAAACAGTAAGTATAAAATCTTATTAGAAAGTTCTTTTATATTTAAATTTATAGGTTTATAAATTTACTGATTGTTTGTCATTTCAGATTTTGTGCTAAATAAAATTTCACTTGACTTTTTAAATATATTTAATCTCGGTGAAGATTTGATCATATATGGTAGTTTGTTCCACTCTTGTATAGTTGATAACATAAAAAGTCTTACTATTTTGACTGGTTTATTTTGGGTTTTACAAAGTTCATTCTACTTTGTCTCGTATTGTGATTATGCCTTTCGGAAACTTTTAGAAAATGTTAATTGGACAACTCTGTCATTTACATTTAGCAAACTAAGCTCGTTTAACTCTCTTTGGGCAACATGACTTCGCGGTCCCGCATCATTTATAAAACGGACCATCTTATTTTGCATAATCTGCAATTTCTTGTTTATGTGACTTGGAAGATACCAAGAGGAGCAAATGTAATCGTAATGGCACTGAATAAGTGCAGAGCAAATA